TTTTYCCCTCAAAGACGCCAAACATCTGGCCTGCCGCTGTACCAGAGGGTCACATYCAAGTTGGCTGGCGGTTTAAATTTCCGGATGAAGTTTCGTCCAAATGTTCAACATTGATCATCGGCGCTTGCAGAAACTACAAATTGGACAGTGATATCTACTGTTATTGTCAGCGGTGCCTTGTGTTAAAAGTAGGTGACGTAATGGCCAAAATATCACGTGATGGTTCGTATTTGGATATGATTGGGCGAAGTAGAATTACCAATGGGAGTAAGCAGGCCCTCAATATGACGTGGTTTATTTTGGCGCAGTTCTTCTATGTTACTGATATGCTGTTGCAAAACTATTCTGGACTCAGCCCCGAGGTAGGTTACGTGATTTCGATAAAAAAAGAAACAAACACATAGAAAAACATAAATAAAATTTCATGAGTTAATTGAAGTTGACGTGAAGTATGTTTTTTTCCAGATAATGGTTCCTTTATATGGATGCAGCCGTCCTAAACAGAAATCTCTGTTCGAGCTGGTCAAGGAGTATAATGTCGAACCAAGCAATTTAGCCAACTTTCGTTGGTTTCTGCCACCTGGAGGTATCTGTAATTCTTGCACACTATACTGTCTTTGGCCAAGTGGAGACTGTCCCTCCCAATAGRACCACAAATGACTGTTAGGGTGTGACCTTGCGTAGGACAAATTGACTTCGAACGGGTCTGTACGATCGATCTGGAGAAGAAAACATTGCTGAACTGCCATCGGGTCTACTCGATATTGGGGGGATGGTCCTCTAGCTAGGCCGAACTTTTGAAATATTCGCTATAAATATCATCATTTCCGTGATCATCAGTATGTCATTTCTTCATCGTATTTGTATCATTCGACTGCAAACATCATGGATCATATCAAGCCTTATCGTTATCTTAAAATTAATAAACTAATAACGTTTGGATTAACAGGTCTTGATGTCGAGGAGCACACGCAAATTCCATCCAACACGAGCACGTGGCTTTCTACTATTGCAAGTATGTCTGCGATTGTTACATTTTATTGTTGATTAAAATAAATGTGTACCCTGACCTTTCTTTGGAGGCTTGGCAAAAGCAATATCTTGGCATAGAAATTAGTACACCAAGTATTTCGCTCCACCCTCGCCAGAGGCGTTTCTCGATCTCTTTCTACACCTGACCTTCTGTCTTCCTCGACGAGGTGATACCAGAGGGATCCCAAAAGAGCAAAATGAAGTGTTGCCTTCGGAGTGGGATATTCTTTCCCAAAAAATTGCAAAAGTTAGCCTGAGTACGCACAGCAGAAAAACATAATGATGATGGAAATGTTTTGACTAGAGACACAGCGCAAAGGATTTCTAACGTCTAACTAACTAACGATTTCTAACTAACGTCTTTTAAACAATCCCCACAGAGAAGTCAACACTATTTATAAGCTACCAAAGCGATCATCAAGACGAGGTCAAACTACTTCGAATGAGCTTAAGTCACTCTGGATTCAATTGTGTTGGCGAGTGGACACTACTAGGGCATGGTCAAGAGCACACGGAAAGACGACGACAAAGTATCATGGGTTCGTCATTGGTGCTAGCCTTTGTCACACCAGAGTAAGTCAAATTGATATTTTTGAAGCGTTGAGAGAATTATTTTAGAAACCCACATGGCGGATGGCGTTTAAAAGGGGAGGGGGGCTAAGCCTTTCAGGTGAACGAATGAGTCGCGTTCAGATTTAACTTCCTATTCTRTTAACTTTAATAGTAATCTCAATTTAAACGTTTTTGAACCTCCCCTCCCCCCTCCTCCCACATTCACTGCCCTTGAAATCCTATGTTTATAAAGCAGTATAACGTACTCGTAATTTACATTAGACGAACATTTGTGACGGATATGATTTCTTATCATTGCCAGTCTAACAAAACTAATGGAAGATGGAGTAGTTTTATTTTGCTTGCATCCTCTCAGCTGCACAGAACACAATAGATAAATACAAGGCAACGCAGCAGTCACATGATGTGCTGTTGTTATTAATCTTCTAAGTGTGAGAAGTGCTCGCTTTTAGTTGATGGCTTGTCTACTATTAAGAACTATTACTTCTTTTTGACATGAGTAACGCAGCTCCACATRAAACATATATTAAGATTCCATCGGCGCCTTTCTAAGGCTTCCCGTTGGGCATGTTGAGCGGAATGTTAGTCTTAAATATGAACATTTTTAGTCCGGGGTGAAATAGAAGATTTTCCGCCAGATACAGGAAAGCTATGTTATTTACAGTCAACTGGCCGTGCTTACATCCCGACAATGCGCAAACCTCTTCATCACGGATACTCGGTTATAACTAGACTGCGTGGCGTCCCCACCCCCTCCCCTAGAGCCGCCACGCAGCCTAGGTTATAACGACCGTCTTGATAACTCCCTGAAATAAATTCGTCGCTGTAAAGAACGTCATTTTCATGGTCACTTGCTCTTGCGGATACTAAGAACAGTGTGTTATATAAAAGAAAGTTTGATAGGCGGTTAGAAGGTTTTGAACGTTCGACTAGAACCAAGTCAAAACTGACCGAGTACCTCTCCCACTAGGGGGAATTTGTTCAATTAATTTCCCGCTGGGTTAATTACTATGTCACTTATGTTGTGATTGGCTGATTCAATGACGTTTGTCGGATGTTTTTGTAGTGAAATGCGACACGCACAAATTATTATGTATCTAGTATCTTCTATGTGGTTGAATGTTCACTGCGCTCTCCCAGTGGTTTGTTTCTAAGAAATACGATGATAATCTTGCTATTTATCTGTTCAAAGGGTGAGTATGAACTTCTCAGTTATCTACAAAGGAACTCCTAAGGACATATGCGATTAGTTAAATGTATAATTTGATCACATTCTCATTGCGGAAGGTCGAATACTAAACCAGCTATGCGGGGAAGGTGTTATATAAATGTCGAAAGTAATTTATAAAATTTATCAGCGTGGAAGCTTCGCTGAAATCTTTCAAACGTTTAGTTAATTCAACTATGATTTGAAATTAATGCTGTTTGACTTTGACTCGCTTTTGACGAAGAGTTATAAGTATTTTTGCCAGTCATGAGTATTTTCAATTTCGTTCGCGATTCATGAAATGATATATTTTGTATTTGCCAACACCCCTAGCCTACAGATAGATTTAGAAGCGCTTATGTTTTGTGAATATCAAAAAGTATTTTTCATGTAATTGGTCGAAGCAGTAAGTGGTTTATGTTGAGGACAATAGTAGCGATTTGTTTCCTTTTGTTCGTGACCATGACACTCTTTGTTTGTAAAGGTTTAGTATTAAGTAAGTAACTCTAACTGACCGTCACGTGATAATCAGAAGAATTTGTCACTGTGTAGCGTTCTTGAACCACGATCTTAGACGTACTCCTTCAAAAACAGTATTTAATATTAATTTATAATGGAACGGATATGGCCTTGTTTAGTATTTCACTGCCGTGATGTACGACCTCTGCAAGACTAAAGGGTGATAATAAACCAGCATGCAGTACGGTCGTAGTTTATTCATAATAACCATTATAAACATTGACCATCCCACATCCGTTCGCTTTAAGATCAACATTTGCATGTTTAGAAATATTTCGTTTAATAATATTTCGTTTTGATGTTAATATATTATGATTTTTTATTTTCAAATCTAAACATCAGCGCGCGCAAGGGATCATCGTAGTCTTCTAAAGAATGTCACTTAGTTGATTGATTGATTGGGACAATTCAATGCATTTCAAGCAATACAATGTCCACATTTTATTTGCATTTCAGCTAAAATGCTTTCTATAATAAGATATATATACGGCTTATTGCGGCGAATAATTGATCTTCAGGGTCATTGTTTTGAATTTACCCGTGTGCGTTTACTACTTACGCAATAATAAGAATTAAAAAAATGTTAGCCATCTGTAGCTTATGCAAGCTTTTCAGTGTATGCAAATACAGGTTATAGGAAACCACTTTATATTTGATTATAACTGAGATAGCGCTCATTGAAGAGAGTCGTGCTGTATTGTATGCCATCATATGTTCTACCCTAAGGGGTTTGGTGGTAAGGTATTTATCTTGTATTCCTACTGTTTCATAACTATTATTTTCATATCCACATATATATAATCGGTAAATACGATAGCGTTTATAGTACATTGATCCGTGACCTATTTTTAAGCGTGAGATTCGGCATCGGCTCTTGGCTTCGTATTTTTGAAATTTTACTATTGTACTTATTTTCTAGTCTTGATTTCACTTTCCTAAATCCAGCTCGATTTACTGGTCCATACTTTATCGAATCCAACATAATCACTTATTGCCATAACRTGGAGTGACTGACATTTTCCAAGGTTCCTGCTCTTGCCTGACGGATCTGTCATTCTTTTTCAAACCTCGCGTTCTTTCTTGTTTAAAAACATAAATGAATATTCATTGCAAGATTTTAGGCTCTCGATATTAAACAAAATCGCCAACTCTGCTTCATGGAACATTGATATATAATAATAATAATTCTTTATTCCATAAATACAAGAAATCGTACATTAGAACACAAAAATTAACTTTAACAAAAAGATTTATATACTAGCTGTCTAACTTATTGTACAGATTCAGAACATTAAAACAATACTTCGCAGTTATATTTACAATAGAGTCATATTTCATTGACAATATATATATATATAGGAATAAGCAATGATAACCTGTGAAGGTTTTCAAATAGTTATTTATGTTATACAAGCTTTCCTTATTAGGTAGAATTATTTAGCGTACCCGATGCCGAAGCTGGAATCATTCTGTGGGAGTTTGAATTGGTCTTACCCACTTCACATTTAGACTGATTTGTTTACATACTCTCTTGTGTAGGTATTGTWWTGCATCTTTATTTGTTTCGTTTATTTTGTTAATCATCGTTTCCACGATCTGACCTACTCAGCGACTTGTGAATTTCGATCTAAACCACAGGAATCCCATCTTTGTTTAATAATCTACAGCAGGGCCATAAGAATCGTTGGTTTGGACGATACTCGGAATRTATTGATATAGCGTGAGTACAATGGGAAGAAAACGTATCCCACTGTCTACAGGCAGGCAGACGATRAAATATTAGTGCTGAAGACTATCTAGGACGCGCAAAGCATTATGGTTGACTATAATTATCAAAAACATGTAAAGTTACCCGGGCAAGTTCGATCTTACCGACCACGGGATCATCGGCTTCTAAAGGGAATAGCCGACTTTAGATATTTTGGTTCCATGACTATGTACAAAAGAACGCACACGAGGCTCCGGGGAAACAATGGATAATCTTGATTTATTCTTTTATTTCCCCGGGGCCTCGTCCGCAATTCTTTTGTGCATGGTCACTGAACCAAAATATCTAAAGTCGTCTATTATTGCTGCAAAACTTTAAAATCTTATAAAAAGTTTCCTTAAATTATGGCTTAAAAATATTTGAGATATATTCATTCCATCTCGTCAAAATGGATAAGTAATATATTTTTAAATTCTTTATTGAAATTTTTTCAATTTTACAATTTCTACATATTTTATATAGTGTATTTTTTTTCTGAAAAACTTTAAAAACTATAGAAAGTTTCCTGAAATTAAATCTCAAAARTATTTGAGAAACATTCATTCCATCTCGCGTCAAAATGAATAAGTAATAGAAATAGATGTGTAGATAAATAATATGAACGAACAGTGATATTATAAAARATGGTCAAAAATTTAGCGGTAAAGTGTGCGTAGCTATCGTATGTTGATTGCAACTTCAGGTTCCACAAATATTTCGTAACAATTTATTTATTTTGGTTGMCATGGATACTAAAAGTAGTCCGTTGTGTTCTCATTTCTTACGTACATATTTATTTTCAATTCGTTGCTTTATAATGAAAAGGTGGCGAAAAGGAAAACAAATTGGCTTGTTGTCAGTTAATTGATATGAAAAGTGCCACWCTTAAAAATTTGATGCTCTCTCCCTTCCGTCACAGAGTTAATATTCAAAAAAGCCGCGAGAAATTAGCTTTTCCATGATATTTTTTTATTGTGTATGTTTGTTGTTTTGGAATTTGTATTCATCACACTATTTCAAGCTACCATGCATTTTGATCAAAAATCGGTCATTTTTGCCGTCACAGAGTTAATATTCAAAAAAGCCGCGAGAAATTAGCTTTTCCATGATATTTTTTTATTGTGTATGTTTGTTGTTTTGGAATTTGTATTCATCACACTATTTCAAGCTATTTTCCTTTGAATCCGAAGCTATTATCCTCCAATTATTTGGTTTTCTTTCGGGCTTTCAGCAAAGAAATAATTATCTCAATTTGTCGTCATGGCCGTTCGCCAAGCCACGTTATAAAATGAATGGCCAACGTATCAATCCATAACACTGGTAAACACTTAGTGTAAACACATCCACTACAACTTGCAGTTCTTGTTAATATTCGGGAGTCAATTCGGCGCAGTATCGTACAGTTTGTGTACTTCATYAATGTCTTCCAATCAAATCTTTTCATCAAATTTTCAGTTAGTTTTGTCTAGCAAGTTGTAACAGATCATTGTGTGATTATAAAGTCTTATTTTCAACTATTTTGAAGGA